CCTACAAATATTCAAACTGTTCGAAACGTCTGATCCACATTTGAACGGCACCTCTGGGACCAGCAGCCTGTCTGTTCCTTCATAGTCCCACAGTTTGCCACTTTCAGAACCCAGAAAATGAGTGATCTTCTGGTTCTATGTCTGTTCTCACCTTGGAGCCCTGCAGCCGTCCTCCATGCTGCTGTAAGCTGACCTCAGATCTGCTGGCTAATTTTAGCTCCACATGACCCTGCTGAGAGTCAGCTGACCCGGTGCTGGTTCTAGCAGCATGGAAGCAGCTGTGCAAACACTTCCTGGTTCACTTGATGTTTCCAACTGAAGAAACAGGACAGGAAAACCTTAAGTTTGGGTCAGAACCTCATGGTGCAGACTGAGGCTTAGGGGACACCAGTCAATGCTCTCCCTGTTGGATGGGGTTAACAGTTTGGGTCGGAACCATGAACGGACACAGACAGCAGGCGTTTTGTTCACGTCAGCTTTATTCCTGCAGACTCAGGATACATAGAAATCTTACATCTATCAGAGGCTACCACCCACACAGAGCAGGAACCTGGGAGAACAGCAGGGAACATTCAGCAGGAGCTTCACCCAGGGGCCAGCAGGGCGGCGACAGCCGGGCTCTGCATCAGGATGAGAGATGATCTGGCTGCTTTCCTAATTTATGTCTGGGTTCTGGCGAGTTCTGGGAAAACCAGATGTAACAGTTTTATTCCAAGGAGGTTTAACTCCGGTCCTCGCAGGCGGGGACCATATGTCTGGATCAGGACAATACCTCAGACAGGCAGGACGCCAGCCTTCAGAACTGACTTTGGACCCCTCTGCTCAAATCCATGTGGTCACATGACCCCCAGCTGTTAGTTTCAGTGTAACAGAACAAGGGGGCGGAGCCTGAAACATCAGCTGGTCCGGGCATGTGGCGAACTGGAATTTTCTTAGGAAGACTAATACAGACCCGTTCTGTTCTGGAGAACCAAGTAGTGAACTTCAACAGGTACATTTGACTCTTTGTCGTGTTCAGAACTGGTTCGGAACCAGTTTCTGTTTCTTCTAAAGAGCCGGTCTAGAAAACACAGATCCAGAATAAGCCGATACAAAACTTGAACCCACAGAACCAAAATGTATAGATAGAATAGATTAGGGATCCAGATACAAGTCCAAGACCTTCAGAACTATGACCCGAGGATGTTCTCAGGTTGACTGGTACTCATGTCCTATGCAGGTGGTGCTGTACCGCTGATGGCGTAGCAGGAATTCTGATTTCATCTCCCCGCTCAGACTGACGGCGGGTGCTCTATGTCTGTATCTAAAACCGTATGTTTGGGCGTCATGGTAACCCAGTGACTAGCAGCTGAACCCCACCCCCCAGGGTCCTGCTCAAAGGCAACAAGGAAGCTACGAGGCAGCCAGGAAGGCCTCAGACAGAAACATGAAGTGAAGGCGATGGAGGGGCGGGACCGTGTGTCGTGTGGGTCCTCCCCGGGACAGAAGTGTCTATTTAAGGTCCAGGACCATGCTGGCTGGGTTCTCCAGGTATTCCCTCCAAAGGTTGGAGAAGCGACACATGGTGGCGCCGTCGATGATGCGGTGATCCGCCGACCAGCTGACCTTCATGATGTGAGCTCGGGTCACCTGACCATCACTGTCGAACCGCGGCAGAACCTGGACGGATGGAAGGCAGGGAGTTATTCAATGAGAACCAATCAGCCGTCATTCCTGGACTGATCCTCACTCTGATTGGCTGATCCTTACCACCTGATTTCTGATGGGTGCTGCGCTGTGTTTTACTATCAGGTTCTGCTACATTTAAAAGATAAAGGTTCCTCTACATTTTCTTTTAAAAATCCTGATTTGTTCTGATGGTCCCACCCAGTTCTCACTTTGTCACACTTTCCTGATCAACTAGAGGAAACTGGTCTAAAAATGATGTCATGTGAAACACTGAACCCAAATTCAGTTAGAAATGGTTCTGCTTCTGACTTCTAGCTCTGAGGACAACGTTGATGGAGGGTTTGGGATCTAACCTGGATTTTTCCCAGCGCTCCAATGGCGACCTCAGGAGGAAGAATGACAGGCTTGGCATACGTCCCTCCGATCTGACCCAGAAACACAGAAAACGGTCAGACTCAAGGTCATCGTCAGTGGAGGACTGCCGCTCTGCCGTACTCACCGATCCGATGTTGGACAGCGTGAAGGTCCCTCCCATCAGCTCCGCCTGTCCCAGCTGACCGGCAGCTCCCAGCGTCTGCAGCCGGTTCAGCTCCTGGGCGATCTCGAAAACGCTAAGCAGCTGAACGTTCTTCACGTTGGGGACCAGCAGACCCTGACTGGTGTCCATGGCCAGGCCGATGTTGTGAGACGCCTGTGGAGATGCCCACAGCGTCAGCCACACGGAGCAGCTTCCCCCCCACCGCAGCCAGACTGATGCTTTACCTTGTAGGTGATGTTCTGGCATCCTTCGTCCAGCGAGGAGTTCAGGATCGGGTAGTGGAGCAGACCGAGGGAGGCAGCCTGAGCCAGAGAGGGTCAGAGGGCGGTCAGTCTGCAGCTGTTGGTTAACTGGGAGCCAGTCAGCCCTCTAACCTTTGACCTCACCTTGATGAAGAAGGGCATGTAGCTGAGTTTGACCCCTCGTCTCTCAGCAACGGCTTTTAGTTCTGATCTCAGAAGAACCAGCCGGCTCAGGTCCACCTCGTCACAGTAACCGAAATGAGGAATCTTCAGTGCTGCCGTCATGGTCTTCACCATGGCTTTGTGGAAACCTGCAGACAGGAGAAGTTTGGCTACTCCATAGAGGAGAACCTTCTGGTTCTGATCTAACAGAACATCTTACCTTTGAGTGGCTCTGTTACATCCTTCCCAGTGAAGACAGGTTTGGGGGCAGTGGGTGGAGGTTTAACTCCAACTGGAGTGCTCACAGGCTTGGGAGCAGGAGCAGTGGGGGCGGGGCCCGGGGTCTGGATCTCCTGGAAATGTGGAGCTGGAGGTAGGATGGCTCCAGTCTGCTTTGCAAGGAAGTTCAAGATGTCCTCCTTCAGGATCCGTCCATCCTTGCCCGTCCCCACCACCTCACTGAGCTTAATCTGGGGGGACACATCAGTCAGAACCCTTAGTCTAGAGGTTAACCAGAGGAGGAGAACAACACTAGAAGTTCTCCATCTCATGAACCAGCTCCAGCAGGCTTTTAATCAATAAACCATCTCGGATTCTTGCACCCCTATGGACCCAGTTCAAGTCCAGCTTCTGATGAGGATACAGAAACATGCAATCCCTACTGGCCCCCAGCCAATGGCTCAGGGCCCGATCTAGAGAAGACGGTTCAGTGGATAAAATCAGCTAAATAAAATCTCTCCTCCCAATTTGTTCTAATGTAGCTACTGACACTGTAATAACATTGTTATCACAATAATGATCACTATAACCAATAATATTGCTTTTTCTCTCCTCTCTGTTGTTCCTAGAAGTCGTATGCCCCATTATCACTACTAACTGGGAGGGAAGCTGGTGATAATCTGGGAAAAACTGGAGACTCACATTATTCTCCATGGCGAGGCGCCTGACGGCGGGCGTGGCCTGGGTCTTATGACCTTTGATCTCCTGGTGGGTGTGCTCCTCCCTGGCCATGGCAGGCGTCTCCACCACGTCCTCCTCCTGGTTCAGCTCTGATAGACAGAATTCAGAGACTAGAATACTACAAGCGACCAAACGGATCTGTTGACCCGTATAATCTAAGTTTTGGTGTCTCACCCGATCCAGACTCCGTCTCGATATCAACCAGTGGTTTACCCACCAGCGCGGTGCCGTCCACATCGTAGTAGAGTTTCCTGATGACTCCGTCATAGCGGCTGGTGATGGTGACGGACGCTTTGTCGCTCTGGACTTCACAGATGCTGTCGAACTGGGACACTTTGTCCCCTTCTTTGACGTACCTGAGACGGGTTAGAACTGAAACTGAATCTCAGAGTGACCCAGATGAGTCACATAAGCTGGAAACATCAGACGTTTTCTGATGGAAGAGATGTGATCCTCAGACAGCCTCGTCTTTATTTTCCCTGTTTTTCTACTGCTATTTCAGGTCTGCCTGGAAACCACTAAATTAGCTAAATTAGTGCATAAAGTAGGTTCAAAAACATTAAAAACTGACATTAAAATTGATTTTCCAGCCGTTGCATTCAGGAACAGTGGGAACTAGAAATGGTTTTAAACAGAATCGATGTTTGTGTTTAATTTTTATTTTACTGATCTATTCAGTTTATGTTCATGTCGTCACATAAAATATGTCTTACTAAAGAAATTAGGATTAGGATTAACAAATTTGTAAAGAATTTCCATTCCTTGTTAGAAATTCCCACGTTCTCAAAGTAAAGTGGAAGAGCCATCAGAGTCCAACAGAATGGCTTCCTGTTCGCCTGTGGCGCCAATAACCTGGTACTAATATAAAGATTGGTCGTCATGACATCAGACAGTGAAACATAGACGGAGACATGAACTCTGTCCCGGTCCGTCAGTAAGATGCTGCAGCAGGTTCACCATATTTAAAGATACTGAGCTGAGGTTAGTCAAGCACTTTCCAAACCCCATCACATAAATATAGGATATTGGTATATTAAAATCTAATATAGATTATTTCTTAAAGACAGTTCTAGTTCCCATTGTTCCCGAATGCAACACCATGGAATATTTGGTTCAGATACAGAAGCTGTCAGCGATCATTCCACAACCCAACATCAGTTGGAGACTGAAAACTAATTTCAATCTGAATGTTTTCAGTTTCATTATTATATTTCGGTTTTATTGCTTTTTCAGGTAAAAAAAAAAATAAAAAATCCTCATGGCCTAAATTTAGCTCCATACGTTTCTACCCTGTGAAGAATAATGGAGAAATGTTTCCTACCATTCCTTTACTGTCACCTCCATGATTCCCTCCCCGATGTCCGACAGCTTGAACTGGACGATGGCTCCTCGCCGCGCTACGGGTACAAAACAGTGACATCATCACGAGCAGAGCCCAGAATCAAACCGTCCCTCTGCATCATCTGGACCGGGAAACATGCTCCTCCTAAATGCTCCTAAATGCTCCACAGAACCAGGGAAGCTTCAGGAAAAGATCCAATACCGAAGTCTTAAAGAACTTGTCAGGCCAGGTCCATGTTGTGATACCAAACCGATTTTAATAAAGAACCAAATGTTTCTGCTCTGGGTTCCTGCAAACATTTTTTAGATTTTCTCACTGAATGAAACTCAACACAAAAACGGTTCATAAAACTTCTTAAATCATTTGGTTTAAAAACAGATTAAAGGTTTGGAATGAGACAAAGATTCAGCTCGACGAGCCACATTAAACCCTCGCCCCCAAACACCTACCGATGGCTGTGTGCAGCGCCCTGGCGCCGACCATCTGCAGGGATCGATCCCATCTGGAGGCTGACAGGTGCAGGTTCCTGTTGTATCTGAGGTTCTGTGGCCGGAAACACCGCCGGCGGTACTGTTGGGTCAGCTGACAGGAAGAGAGGACAGCATTACATCACCTGATGGAGCGGTTCTGCTAACATGTCCAGTCTAAACAATACCGCATCACTTACGGGGGTCTCATTAAGATCTACTAAACCAAAGAATCATTTTACTGACATTTGTTCAATTCTAGATCTGCAGAAACGCCTCCAGAAAATGTCCAGATTTTCTGTTTTTTAGCATTTATTCATCTTTGAGAAAGATTCCCTTCGTTGATGTGTGTTGCTGTGCAGACATTAACTAAGCCGTCTACAAACAGGAAACACGAAAGTGACGATGAGCAGCAAAAATAACTCATTTATCCATTTGAAACGTCGAATCATAAAGAAAATTCAAGGCCTTATAAGGGGGATACCTTCTAATGGTTGTTTTCAATATGCTGGTGAAGATTCTCAGTCATCAATGTCATAGTCATTCCAAAAAAGGAAAATAAAAATAAAAATCCACTGGACTTTGTTTCCAAGTTAGAAGACGTTTTGCTTCCCATCCAGGAAGCTTTTTCAATTTGAATTGAAAAAGCTGTTTTCAACAACTTTTTCTGGGTCTTGAACTTTAAATCCTTAAGTTTCACGGATTTCGAGGTCCGATGGGAGCTTTGGCCTGTTCTAACACAAGGGCTCACCACGGTAATCCACACCTCTGGTCCGTTCTCTCTGGATAATACGTCCAAATTCATACAATTTCCTGAAAGATTCCCAATCAGTTCCTAATTCTTCTCTGGTACCATCACCAGAACTGCTCCGGGTCCAAACCACCTGGGTCGATCAGACTTTCAGGTCAATATTCAGCATTTGTTGTGTTTGGAAGCTCCATCACTGATTGAGTCACGTGACCCGGGGCGCCACCTTACAAAAGCCTGTGTCCTAGTGATGGGTCTGACAAAACTGATGCATTGATGCATGCATGGAGCCCATAGAGCAAAGCACTGTATTGGTGCGCGTGTCGTTTCAAAAAAAGAGATGAGATAGTTGTTTCTAACTGACTTAACCATAAAAACGGATCTATCAACATGATGCATCTGCTATAAAAATGTCTCATCTTTTGCGGTTTATCATTAAAATTATCAAGAGTTTTGGAGCAGCCTAAAAGGAATAGAAACGTTTCAGCCGTTGCGTGTTTATTTAAATTTTCTCGTTGCGTCATCCTTTTCCTCTCGGTTATCACTCAACTTATCTGAATTAAAGTTAAAGTAAGAGTCGATATGAAATTTACTGTTTTTACTTTACTTATCGTTTTAAAAATATTTAAAATCCAAGTCCACAAACATCCTCATTCACATTTCCCCTAAATGTTCATGTTGTGATATATATTTGCATTATTTATTGGCTACGTCTTAAAATATCAAAGATATTTTCAATTTAAACATAGATATGAAATATTACAATATAACTTGAATGATATTATTGTACTAGGTCATCAAATCAATTCAGTTTAGTCTGTCCAATAAGCTGCCTGTAGTGTCTTTAAATGTCCAGCAGGTGTCAGTATTCTGTGAGACAGAATCAATTCTGTTTGCCTGAATGCCTCATTAACTCATCACTTATGTGTTCCATTAAACACCAGAATTAACTAAGCTAGTATTCATTAGGAAACAAACCAGATCAGACATATTTTTGGTTCTGTTGTAGGACATGCAAACCTTCCAAAATACAGGTCAAGCGCCCCCTGGTGGCTAACAGTTTCAGTCTTGCTTTAACAACAGAAAGACTGAATGAATGAAAAATGTTGATAAAAAGAAAACAGAAGCGCACTGGAGAAGAAGATGATGGTTTATTGGAATCAAATGTTTGAAGTTTTTTTTTTGCATCATTCGGAATTAAAGTACCAAGTTACATAAACAATATTTGCGAATATTAAAGGGATACAATAGAGTTCATTAATTGGACCTGGAGGTCACAGAGGAACCAGAACACTGACAGCACCAGGTTTCAGGTCCACTTTGGAGCTAGACGGAATGGAGATTAATAACAAACTGAGGTTCAACTGGTATCTAGAGGGAACTTTCTGGTCCACAACTGTGACTGATCTAAAGCAAAGTTCTGGATCAGAACATGGCCCTGGACCAAAACCAGACCATCAGCTGGATGAATCCTAAACTCTCCTGAGTTCTTTGCTGTTATCCAGTTGGGCTGAGACAGATGGACCGGATCAGAGCAGAACATTACAAAGATTCTAGTATGCGTGAGTCCTAAAGTCTTTAACTAAACTTTCCTATGGGTAGAAAAACACCATCCTGTTGGAAGACATCTGCAGGTTCACTGGTTCCCTGGATAACTGGAGCAGACCAGAACCATAAGAACCATCATCTCTGGTCAGGTAAGGCCATCTGTTCGGTTCGCTACAGACAGAACTAAAACCGACCAAACCGGAAGCGGATACAGCTCTAGAACCGAACCAAACCGAGCCGAACCTCAACCATCACAAAGCAGTTAGCCTAAGTTAGCATCGTAGTGACGTCACTGCCACATCAACTGCAGCGTTCAACGTGAGCCGAGCAAAGCCCGGTTAACAGAGTGGCTTGAATCCGTTCAGAGTTTATTTGTGTTCAGTTCGGTGTGGGTCTGAACTAGTTTGTTCCTCACCAGGAGTCTGAGAGCGCTGAAGGATCCTCTGGTCACCGCCGCCATCTGTCTTTTCTGCTGAACGCCCCTAGCTGCAGCCAATCAGCGCTCAGACTGCTCTTCTTCTTCCTCAGGAAGAGGAAACACTGCCACCAAGTGGTGACTTAGACAAACTTCATTGTAATTTTGTATACACAGCACTTATCTCTATTTATTCACTGGATTGCTGATTGTTGTGGTAATTAAATTTCATAATAAAAAATATGATCAAAACTGCTTAACTTTTTTGTTTTAATTTCTGTTTGAATTAATCTAATTTTGAAGGTTCTTTAATGCGAAACTGGAAACATGCATTCTATTCATCCCTGATGTGTTGCCACTCTTTGAGCTTAACTCTCTAGATGTGATAAAACATACAAAATATTTAGCTCTGTAAAAATTCTGGGAGACTTTAAAGTGAAAATTTACATAAATTTTAAACAGAAAATTCAGACAGAGGAGATTCTTTCCTCCACATATGTTCAAACAGGATTAGCATATCCAATGACTATATCTGTTTTTCACTGTATATTAATTTAACCTCTTGCTGCGACAGCAGACTCAACAGATAGAAGAAACAATAAAACATTGAGGCTTCAGCAGGAAGAAAATAATTAGTTTAACATAAACTTTAACTGTGTCTATAAATATTTTTGTTTAAGACAAGCTTTCTTCATTCAGTGAAGCTACTAGAATAAGTCAAAATCTCACCCCTCAGGTCTTCAGAAACCCACTCATTCAGTTTTTATGAACAAATTGTATAATAAAGTATATAATAAAGTATAATAATAAAGTATTAACAGTTGGTTCTGTTTATTGCAGTGACCCACCAAGGCTGTATTTAGTTATTGTATTTTTATTATATTCCAGCATTTAGTTTGCTTATTTGTATCTGTTGCCAGTTGTTATATTATGGATGTTTTATGTTTATAAAATGGAATTTCCTTTTTATGGTTTCTGTGTTGTTGTTTTTTGTTACATCTCTGCCTCTCGGTACCAAACAGAAACCTGGCCTTGCATAATTTTGCTAGTTGGTAACAAAAAAAGAATAGCGGGCATTCTTTACTGTCCTTTTCTAAATCCCATTTAAGACTTCCAGGCGGATTTAGTTAGGAATGCTAATAGGATTATTATAGTGAATGATTTTAATATTCATGTTAACACTTAAAGGGAAATCCTTACATTTTAAATCTGCACCTTGGCCTATAACACAGGCAGTACTATTAGTTCCCTTTAAATCCCTTTAAATTAGTCAACACAATACAAATTGACAAACAGGTGTTCAGAAAAGTACACGTCTGTCACATCGGCAACTGCTAATTTGCTCCCAATCAGGCCTTCAGATAGAGATAATATCAATGCAATCATGTTTTTTGCATTTGCTGCCCCTTTAGAAAACTTTAAACATCTGAGTTAAAAATATCTTGATATGGTTGTAAATCAGTTCCATGTAAGTAAAACACATTCTTTTGGTGCTATAGTGTACCGCTGTTGGTTTAACATTTTTCTTTAAACCTCAGTATTTTCTCTGATTTCCATGGATGTTTGAATCGCTCACATAATCAGTGTCAGAATCAGTAGGATTAGGATAAAAAAGATAGATTAGGCAGCAACGTATTTAAAAGAATCTCAATCTCTGTTATCAAAACATACAATCTCTGCTTCTCCGTTGGATAATAGGGTTAGGGTGAATCCAGCATCCTGTCTGTGTTTGTCATTTATTCCTTCTATGATGTGTAAATAAAGTAAAATAAAAATAAAAAAAAATTAAAATCCAATTTATTTGGCTCCTTCAATTTCTTTATTTAAATATATATGCGTTTTTTTTCAGAATGCAAAATGTAATGATCTTTTTGCACCAGTAGGTGTCCTCAGTTGTCCACCCAGTGAAGCACTCTTCCTCAGACTGATTAAAGTTCTCCTCAGATGACTGGAGGGGAGGATCTTAAAGCAGGGATTCCAACTCATTCACTAAAATAACAGATCAAGGGAAGGAAATCATGGATGTCGACTCTGCCAAATAACTGAAGGGCCTTTGTGACCTCTACCAAACCAGAGGCCTCAGATTGGCTCTCCTTCAGGAAGGAGGTCCTGGTTGACCACCTTTGAACAAACCTTTTGTCTCTGCTGGTTATCACGACAGTCTGAGGATTAACTCAGACTTTCTCTTTAAACGTTTTTATGTGATGAGTGTCTGTCCAGTGATTTGCTCCTCAGGGATTCTAACCTTTAGCTGCTCAGCATGCAGCCCTGATCTATAGAGTTCTGATAAGGGCCTAATAGCCTTTAGGAATGATTCAACAGACACATCTGAATGTCAGAAGACACCAGCCTGGCAGAAAACTTTATGACCAACTGAAGATTTAAATTTCAAATCAGCAAAGGAGATTTATCCCACTGTGAATTTAGAAAAAGATAATTTTTATAGTGGGCATTTATTCTGCTTTGGTTGTCTCCCTGCAGTTTTTAATTGTTTGTTGTTTAGATTTTTATTGGCTAAGGAGGCTCCTAGATGACCCTGGACACAGGAATAGAGACAAAGGGACTGTAAGAAAAATAAAATCAGTTCAATATCAATTAAGTTTATTTATATAGCTCCAATTCACAACACGTCACCTTAAGGCACTTTACAGTTCAACAGATTATACAGTCAAATTGATTCAGAGTTTTTTTATCTAAGGAAATCCAGCTGATTGCATCGACTCATTGACACAAATGCAATCCCTCACACTAAGCATGCTTGTTGGGACAGTGGAAAGGAAAAACTCAATTTTAACAGGAAGAAACCTCCAGCAGAACCAGGCGCAGTTTGAGCGGCCATCTGCCGAGGCCAACTGGGGTTCAAGGAAACAGAAGCAGAGATACAAAAAGCTGCTGTAAAAGGCGGCCCCATGAAGGAAACCAGCCAGCTCCCATGTCAGAGGATGAAGGGAGCACGTCCAGCCAGTCACAGTCAGAGAAACAGGACTACACTGTAAAACGGGCAGATCTCCAACATCTATATACAAAGGTGTCGATGGCAGCAGAACAGCTGATATTTCTCTCCAGGATGGAGTCACAGCCAAATAGGAACAGGCAAAGCTACTATCAGAAAAAGCAGAGAGCATAACATTAGAGATTAAACTTTATGAGATTATACAGAGTGGGAGAATAGAGATAGAATGAAGTAGAATAATGAAATAGGGGTCCCTATGTCCTCCAGAAGTCTAAGCCTATAGCAGCATAACTATAGAGATAGCTCAGGATAACATGAGCCACTCTAAGTATAAGCTTTATCAAAAAGGAAAGTTTTAAGCCTAGCAATAAAAGTAGACAGGGTGTCTGCCTCACGGACTAAAACTGGTAGTTGGTTCCACAAGAGAGGAACCTGATAACTAAAAGATCTGCCTCCCATTCTATTTTTAGAAATTATAGGTACCACTACTAAACCTGTAGAGTGAGAGAGAGGCGCTCTGTTAGGAATATAAGGAACAATCAGATCTCTGATATAAGATTGAGCTTGGCCATTTAAGGCTTTACATGGGAGAAGGAGGATTTTAATCACTGTTGGAAGATCTCTCAAACCCCTTCAGGAAGCTGTTGTGGAGCTAAAACACTCTCAACTGTTTCATCCTAATTCCACAAAGGAGGATTATTACATATTCTTCTTCCCAGCTGCAACAAATTTTGACAAACAGGGTTCTGCATATTCACATCAATACCCTTCATATTAACAACCTTAAAATGATTTTGCTTAGTTTATTGATTTGTTTGACAGGATCAGTGTACATTAATAAACACTGCTGTCAGCATACTGGCTAATTTTCATCTGTTGTCTCTGGACAAAACTACACAAAAAAGCAGTAAAGTAACACAATGGCGGAACTAAAGGGTTAAGTCCATCAAAACAAAAACAGAAATACAATGAACCTTAATTACAAAATGAAATTACATAAAAAAGTCAAAGGTAATTTTTTAAGATTCAAAATGGTTACTTTCCTGGTCTGCTAAACAGGGTGGGTTAAGTCATTGTAATTAGTAGATTAGTAAATGCTTGTTTGCCCAAGAGCTTTTAAAAAATGCTCCTACAGCCTTAATGTCATGGTCTTGTTTCTATTGTGCTTTACTTTGCTCTATGTTTCCTAGTTTTATTGGTTTAATTCCTTTTTTGTTGTAATTTCTAGATTTATGTTAGTTCTCATGTTTTTCTGTTGTCCTCTGTTGTCCTCTTGTGTGTGTGTGTTCCTTTCCCCTTGGCTCCCTCGTTGTCTCCTTACACCTGCTCCTTGTTAGCTCGTTAGCCCTGCCTATATATGTCAGCTATTTATGCTCTCCCTCTGCTATCACTCGTTGTTGGTTCCTTGTCTTTGCTGTCCTTCCATGCTGTTGTCCACCTACCTCGTCTCTCCCTGGCTCCTCATGTTTGGTTTCCCCAGATGTCACCTTAGTTCTGGTTTGCTTTTCATTATTGGTTGGATTTTTTGATTCCTGCCTTTCTTTACTGTTTTTGCCCCATTAAAACTCCTAGAAAATCTCCTCAGCCTCTGCATTTTGGTCCTCCTAACCAAACCCAACCTTGACACTGATCATTAACATATTGGATATAAAACATGTAAAAAATCCCCTTTACTAAATGGTGGCAGATTATGGTTTGTTATCTAGCTATCCTTGGTATAGAGAAGCAGTGTTCTAAAGTTATAGATCTGGATCTATTTGTGAAACATTTGTTGCCCAACACAACAACTGTGATGGATGAAATTAGTCCTGTATGATAATATCAAGTCTTTAAGTTGTCTATTGATGTTATTTATTTATTTTTGTTGGATATTTCTCAGTTACCCTATGACTTAGACAAAACTTTGTCATTTTCTATACGCAGAGTGTAAACAACAATTTCTTTATCCTATAAATAAAGACTGTCTTTGTTTCTTAGAAAATACCATTAAGTTAAGTTCATACAATTTCTAATTGATTGCAAAGGGGAAACCAAATAAAATTGTATCATAAATAGTCAATTGAAAAAAATATTTTATTGCCATTTATTACATAATTTTTTTTTTTTTAAGTAAGTTACTCTAATGAGGGGGTCCAGCCTTTCCAATCTGCCCAGATGTTTTACACCTCTTTTTCCCACTTCATGTAAAAATGTTCTATCTGCTATTGCTGCTTAAAAACGGTTTTTCAAACTTGTTAAACGGATAACAGGAAAGAGCTGTGATGATCTGAGGGACTCTTTTGCAGCTCTGAGAAGAATCTCTTAATAAAAGTACTTTTCTTGAGAAGAAAGATATTCTCCACAGATTCCTCCTCTTCTTGATCAAAAAAGTATAAGAGTAGAATAGAATAAAAAGTTATCTAATGTCCTACAATTGGAACATTTCTGTGCAACAGCATTTAATTGAGGAGATTAACATACAAATAAAATTTAAAAGTGTGCAAAAAAATAAAGTACAGCAT